GATGAAGAGTACATACTGGGTCATGTTAACACATTCCTCCAAGAATGCTGTGCTAGGCCAGGCTGTCTTTGCACCACGGTGCTGCTAGGAAACTGTACTGTAACTCACTCCCGTCCAGGTCAGCTGCAAACCCACTGAGCTGCATTGGCAACGTTACACAGCTGCAGTGGCGAGGGAGACGGGGTAGCGATGAAGTTGGAGATGGATGAGGAGTGGTGCAAGGAGGAGAAGCTCTCATGTTTCTCTTCAGAGATCTCACTGGGTTATATTTAGTCTTAGGAGAGCCCTTGGAGCACATCAACACATAGATGTCCACCTTTAGTAATAAACACAGTCACTGACCTGCTATTGAAAGTCATAAGGAATACTCCGGGTTTATTTAAACTGCCCTGAAACTTTATATATTACCTGCAGCCCATTACAGCATACCAAACGGATCCTTTTATATCTATGCCATTGTTTTCCTGCTTGCTAATTGTAAGATGTTTATTGGATGGCCACCATATAATGCTTGAATGTAATGCTGACTGACACGGAGGAAGGAGAGACAGGTGGGCTGAAAAAGAGATTGATACAGCTATGACTGAAATGTAAAGCCAGACACATCAGATGCTCTTATGATGCTGCCAAAAGTGAGAACCAGTGAGATGGTGGGGAAGGTTTAGTGTAGATTATTAGGACAGCACAAAAACAGTGTCTAAGTAGCAGTTTGTAAAACTACATAAAGGAATATAGGCAGCAACCATCCTGCATTGAAAGACATAGTTTGACATTTGTAGAAATACATGCATATATATTCTTACCAAGACTTGGATGAGCACAGTGACACCATTCTTCAGTCTGCATGTTAAATGTTGTGGGAGGCACCAGGGGTGGATCGAAAAATTTTTGAATGGGGTGGTCAGGCTAGGGCACAGACTCAGAGAGGGGTGGTACATTTGAAATAATGTAAAAAGTTGATTAAACTCCTGGTTCGATGAAATAATAAAATATACATTAATAATCATATTGTTTATATTGTTTATTTTGTTTAAAAATGAGACACACCTTGTGCTTTCTTTAGCTCAATTTGGCTGTGCTCCTTATTCACTCCTGTCTGGGGACATCACTGCTGCACAGTGGTTCCTCCCCACTGAGGTGAATCCTGCCAAGTACGTCATAACAGGACAATCGGACAAATGAATGCAAATATTATGCTGCATGCATTATATAATATGAAACTAATTAGATTAATATCAATTATAAAACACCAGAAAAATATTAGCTAAAAATATAGTATTTTTCATTTTGCATTCGTTAATACTGATAAACATCTTTTTTTTTTTTTTTTTTTTTGATCTTGGCGGGGGGGCCAATT